TCTGAAATTATCATTACCCAGAGTTACTCATGACAGTTTCTATTAAGATTTTAATATCAGAGCATTAAGTCTCAATATATCCATACTCATTATTAATCATTTCTAAACTCATTACCTCTAACTATCCTAGTTTAAAAGTTCTAACAACCCCCTCAACTGAGTTAGCAAGAAAAACCCACACCTGCCCTGGATAAGTGAACCCCATCCCTGGCTTACATGTCATTTCGGCCATAGAAGTTGTCCCAGTTGTCAATGAATGGTACTGCATTATCCTTACAGTGGTTTATCCAGCCAACAATTAATACCATTTGCTATGCGACAACCATTTCGATTACCAACACTCTCGAGCAAATTATCACATATAACAGGGCGCCCCCCTTCTTCCTAATTATGTCTATAGCTGTCCAGAGCTTTTAACATAATCCCTACTTCTACGCTTGCCTACATCATGCCTCCAGCACTGAGGCAAATAGTTAGGATTGATCCCCATTACGTTCATGTGTTTTGTCAAGCCGGCTAACATGTCCTCCTTGTAATAAGTTGTTAGAATTACGGACAATTTGTAAAGTAAAAGGACACAAGTAGCACTAATGTGACATTTATTGTGGCAACGTTTCGCTATCCAGGAGCTTATCAAGCCATTAACCAAACAATACATGGACAAGAGGGTATATAAAGGCTCTGAGTGAGGTGGAATAATAGTGAGTCTGTCAATGTTCATAGTGGTAGTAGTATGTAGTAGTAGTAGTAGTAGTAGTAGTAGTAGTAGTAGTGGTATGTAGTAGTTGTAGTGGTAGTGACAAAAGTAATACAATATGGTAGAGCAATTTAATTCGTACATGAGTAAAGGATATAAGCTATTACTTGGGTAACATAAAATAGGTTGGACAATTATAAACTGGAATGAGGCAGCTTGTTTCAGTGTACACACTCTGTGCATTTGATGTAGTATAACAGGAGAGACCTAATGTGATGGCAGGGTTTACTGTTTCAGGAGGATACTTGCTAAGACTTCGGAGATGGTTGAAGCTGCGTTGTTTTGTTTAATTGTATTCTAAACAGCGTTCATTGATGGATAACAAGGGCATTGCGTGTGCGGAAATTAGTTTCTTTTATCACTAATTGGCGTCTCTGAATTTCTTAAGTGATTGGTGGAATTTCAGGTGTTGTACACAGGCGTTGTAAGTGTAGTCCTACTTGCGTATATGTGTTCATTGAGGGGGTGGTCGAGGTTTCTTGCTGTTTCAACTACGTAGCTCTTGTACAGCCTCCACAGGGTATAGTGTAAACTCTGCATTGACTGTTCGTGGTGCTTGGGTTTTTGTCCTGGTAGATCCTTATTGATGAATGGTAGAAGCGATGGCGACTCTGGTGTTAGGCCTTGGTGAAAAGTACTTTTGAGACGTTTAGTGCAAACTGGTGTTGGGGAAGAATTATAATTTGTTGGGAGCGAGTGTGATGAGTGGAGAATTGATGATCTGAAGAGTCTTTTCTTGACGAATTTCAGTCCAAAAGAACGGAAATTGTAAATCAGTGAATGTTTGGTGAATAGTAAGTACACATTCCTCGTCAAGAAACTCAGGACTACAAATTCGTATGCTCTTAGGAAAAACCCGACTGATGCATGCCGTCTAAATTTGCGAGTCTTGGTATCTTGACTGGATTAGAAGTGTGTGAGATCATTTTTATTGGTGGTGGGTTTACGGATAAACTTGAAATCTATAGGTGGTGTCTCTTTGTGAATGAGGACGTCGAGGAAAGGTTGCTTGTCATGGACTCTTTTCTAGTGTACTGAATCGCTGGTTAACTGCGTTGGCCTTTGCCTGGAAGCTCCCGTACATCAAAACAGTTCTTTTGAGTTTTACGGGACATCGTCCACGTAACGTAACCAAGTGACGCTTTGAAGGGATGATGTTGGCGAAGTGTCGGACTCTATGGTGTTTCCATGTATAAGTTGGCTAGGACGGCACTTATTGGGAGACCCCATTCCCATTGCCGTAAGTTTGTTTGTAGTAGCTTGTTATTGAAGGAGAAAAAAAAACAGTTGAGTTAAACAGAGTTTCAATCAAGTCAACAAAATCTCCAAGAGAGGTTTAAAGGAAGATTAAGGTCCTGGTTGACTTTTCGTCGTAGTCAGACTCGATGGCTTTTTTGGTAGGTACTTCTGTGAAGAGGGAAGTCACCATCCAAACTGGTTAGTTCTTGTACGGATGGAAGAGGTTACGGAATGCGTTGAGAAGGTCGCCTGGTGTTTAAGATGAGCGGGGCTGATGTCCCCAGGAAGCAGGAAAGATGTTTGGCAAGAACCTCGGCTAGTTTGTGTGGAGCACTGCTATTCCTGACGTGATTGGTTTCTTCTGAGAGGAATATTGTGTTATGGGTTCTTGGGTATAACTCTTACATGTGTGCTGGTTTAGGGTTGTAAGGTAACATGTACAGAGTTTTTTCCCTTCTCTAGTGCGTTGTGTATTTGTTCTGGTCTTGTATAGAAAGTCTTTGGTGAGCGTTCTCCCACTGTTTGAGTGCTGATGGGTTCAGTATGTAGATGATCATTCAAAAGGTCCATCATTTTAGTGTCTGTAGTCTCTGGTTGTTGAGTATGACGATCCACCTCCTTTGTCGCGGTTGGTGACGGATAATGTTGGGGTCTCGTTGGCGTGGTCATTAAGGGCAGTGATGTATCTTCTAGGAAGAATTAGAAAGAAGAAAGGTTCACATAAAGCTGCAGTGAGAAGGCACTGTATTAAACCTTTTGGAAGTTGCTGTCATCGTGTCTATGGTTCCTGGTAACAAGATTGAGTTGTAGTTAGGTATTGCGTATGTTGGTGGTTAAAATTTGAGTCTCCAGACTCAGTGCGATTTGCTTTGTCGTTTCTCGTAGTGGTTAAGGTGCGTGACGATAAGTTGTTTATCAAGGGTTCGCGTCCCATGTCCTTCCATCGACTGTTAGTGCAGAAGTAACTGAAGTTTGCGATTGAGTTTGATCTTCTGTGGAGGTTAGCTGTGGTGACTGTGCTGAGAATATGCTCAGCAGTGTGTTGGTCATCTGAAAGACTGGCCCTCATATTCCTTGCAGTTCAGAAGGTTTCCTTAGCGATGTTAGAAAGTTCTTCGGCACATTCAGTTAAGTAGCTTGGGTGCTGGAGAGAAGGGGTGCTTGGAAGTTGGAGAGTTGTGCAGGAGTAGGACTTGGATACTTCTCTGCCAGGCAATCTTGTAGGAAGTTGTGTCTGTTGCGATAGCTCGAAGAAAGGGGTGTCCAAATAACGTCGGCATTGAAATGTCCATTATGTTGCGGTGTCCGACAGATTGTAATAAAGTTGGTAGAATTACCGACAATATGTAAAGTAAAAGGACACAAGTGCAACTAATGTGACATTTATTGTGGCAACGTTTCGCTCTCCAGGAGCTTTATCAAGCCATTACAAACAATACATGGACACAGAGGGTATATAAAGGCTCAGAGTGAGGTGAATACTAGTGAGGTCAATGTTCACTAGTGGTAGTAGTAGTAGTAGTAGTAGTAGTAGTAGTATCAACTCAATCTTGTTACCAGGAACCATAGACACAGTGACAGCAACTTCCAAAAGGGTTATATGCAGGGCCTTCTCACTGCAGCTTTATGTGAACCTTCTTCTTCTAATCTTCCTAGAAGATACATCACTGCCCTTAAGGACCTCGCCAACGCCCCAAACATTATCGTACACCACGCCGGACAAAGGAGGTGGAGTCGTCATACTCAACACCAGTGACTACAACTCTAAATGTTGTTTGGGTTATTGGTGGGGGTGTGGGTATATGGACCTTTTGAATGATCAATCTACATACGAACCCATCAGCACTCTCAAAGTGGGAGACGCTCACCAAAGACTTTCTATACAAAGAACCAGACAAATACTCAAAACGCACTAGAGAAGGGAAGAAAACTTCTGTACTTGATACTAGCAACCCTAAACCAGGCACACATGTATGGTTTACCCAAGACTCATAAAACAAATATTCCTCTCAGGACCAATTCACGTCAGGAATAGGCAGTGCTCCGTCACAAAACTAGCGGAGTCTTGCAAACATCCTTTCCTGCCTTCTGGGGACATCAGCCCCGGCTCATCTTAACACTAGGCGACTTCTCAACCTGCATCCGTAACTCTCCATCCGTAACAAGAAATAAGCGTTTGGATGTGACTTCCTCTTCACAAAGTACTACCAAAAAAAGCCTCGAGGTTCTACGACGTAAAGATCAACCAGGTACCCTTAATCTTCCTTTACTCCCGGCGATAAATGTTGACTTGATTGAATCTGTGTTTAAACTTCAACTGTTTTTCCTTTAATAAACAAGCTCACAAACAAAACTTACGGCATGGGAATGGGGTCCCCTATAAGTGGCCGTCCTAGCCAACTTATACATGGAACACCTTGAGTACGTAACACTTCGCCTTCATCATCCTTCAAGCGTCACTTGGTTACGTTACGTGGACGCTTGTCCTCGTAATACTCCCCCAAACTTTTTGATGTCGGTGATCTTAAGCAAGGCTCATCCGTTGAAACCCAGCGATTCAGTTACACTAGAAGAAGAGTCCAATGACAAGCTACTTTCCTCGACGTCCTCATTCACAAAGGAGACAGCAACCTAAGATTTCAAAGTTATATCGGAAACCCACAATAAAAATGAATCTCACATTCTATCCAGTCAAGATACCAAGACCAAAAGAGGCTTCATCTTCGGGTTTTTCCTGAAGAGCATCCGAATTTGTAGTCCTGAGTTTCTTGACGAGAAATGTACTTACATTCACCAAACAATCCTGAGTTACAATTTCCTTCTTTTTTTCATCAAAGACTGCAAGGAAAAGGAGCTCTTCAGATCTATCAATTCCCACGCATCAACACCGCTCCCAACAAAGTTTAATTCTTCCCAACAGCCTGGTTGCACTAACGTCTCATGTACTTTCAAAAGCTAACACCAGAGTCGCCATCGCTTCTACCACCTTCAATAAAGATCTAACCAGGACAAAAGCCAAGCACACGACCGAAACCAGTCAATGCAGGAGTTTACCACTATACCCTGGGGAGGCTGTGACAAGATCTTCGTAGGTGAAACAGCAAGAAACTCGACACCCGCATCAATGAACACATATACAGCATGTATGGAACGACACTTAAACAACGCCTGTGTACAACACGAAATTCCACCAATCTCTTATGAAATTCAGAGACGCCCATTAGTGATAAAAGAAACTAATTTCCGCACACGCAAGTGCCTTGATTCAGCAATGATCGCTGTTTCGAATACATTTAAACCAAAACAACTGCAGTTCACCATACTCGGCGAAGTCTTAGCTAGAATCCTCCTGAAAACAGTAAACACTGCCATAACATAGTCTCTCCTGTTATACTACACAAAGCACATGAGCGTGAACACTGAAACTAGCTGCCTAATTTCCAGTGTATATTTGTCCAACCTATTTTTTATGTTACCCAAGTAATAGCTTTTATTCCTTTTACTCATGGGCACGAAATTATTTGCTCTTACCATATTGTATACTTTTGGGTCTAACCCTGCTACATACTACTACTACTACTACTACTACTACTACTCCTACATAGTGAACATTGACTCACTAGTATTCACCTCACCTCTGAGCCTTTATATACCCTCTGTGTCATGTATTGTTTGTAATGGCTTGATAAAGCCCCTGAGAGCGAAACGTTGCCACAAAAAATGTCACATTAGTTGCCTTGTGTCCTTTTACTTTTACATACAATGCCCTCCATCCCACCCCCAGAAACATCCCCTTTTGTCCCTACTCCTGCCTTCAAGCAAATGCCCATCCATGTATCTAACCTGGTATCCCAAAAAAACAATATTCTTCCCTTTCCTTTTTGTCTTTGGGTCGTGACGCCCCACAGTGACTCACATTCGTGGGGTAGCACCGAGAATGCGTTGGGGGTTTCCACGGGGTTTTCCACAGCATCTCTTTCTTCTTCATGTTTCTGGCTTTCCATTCGTTTTCTTGATCGTAAATTCGTCGCCCCTGCTTACCAATGACCACGATCCTTTCTTGACCTGAGGCCCAAAAACAGGAGGGAAATAAAAACCAATCCTCTTGTTTTCCTCGGTCAATCGCCGTATCCATCTTCGCTGCCCCCAATTCTTTCCTTTAAATTTTGGGAAAGTTGTTTGATGGGGGGCATCTTGGTTCAGTCCAGGGGGCAAACAAGACACTTCTTCACAGAGTTAAATATGGGGGTATGCTAGGGCTTGGGGGGCTTTAGAAAGACTGGACAAATAAAAGAGTGGGAGGGGTGGGGTTTTATTGGTGTTAAGGGGAAAAGGAGTTAAATTTTTTGGGGGGGACTTTAGGTAGATGTCGTTTTGATAAGGACCTGCCCCGTATGCGCCAGTAGGCCTTTTGCGTGTTCCACATTCTTTTTTTCTTATGTTCTTTTAAAAATATAAAGTAAAAGGACACAAGTGCAACAATAGACATTTATTGTGGCAACGTTTGCTCTCCCGGGCTTTACAACCATTAATGGCTTGTAAAGTCCAGGGGAGCGAAACGTTCCACAATAAACATATTATTGCATTGTGCCTTTTCTTTACCTATTTGGAAATTTACCAACTTTATTACTATAAGAAAATAAAATGTAGGAAAAACCCGCAGAAAGGGCCACTGGCCCATACGAGGAGGTCCTTAAAAAACGACCTCTACCTAAAGTACTCAAGGGAGGGACTGATTACCTCATTCCCTCCTGTTTTCAAGATTTCCTTTGGGAAATAAAACAAAAATGGTATAATGTGACCTTTTTTGATACGTTTCGCCCAACAGTGGGTTTTTTAAAGTCAAAAAACAAACTCCCTGGGGGAAAAGGAACGGAGTATTTAAGCCCGGGCTGGGGGGCAGGTGAAGAATGTTTGCATCTGATGATGTACCGAGTTGGGTTGTAGATCAAAAAAATTGGGGTAGTTTGGGAAAGGAGACTGGACAATTTGTGAGCAGCCCTTTACAGTTTTCTTATGTGGGATAGCGATGAAGAAGTTTTTTGGAAAGGGGTTCAGCTATGTTATAGAACCCACTATTCTGTTGAATTTGCGGATATAAAATAAGTGATGTTTCCCCAGGATTTTTCGGTATTGGGTTTTGTCTTCGTGGGAAATTTTGAGTTTCGTAGTTTATAAAGTGGTTGTGTAAATTTAGGGTGTTGTACGCAGGCTTTCCCTGTGTGTCAATGCTTGCTATTGGTTTTCTGAATACTTTTTTTGGGAGGTCCCTTGATTTTCGCCCCGTATAATTTGTTGATCTTTAAAAGGGGATTATTATACCCCTGCAGAGGAGGACTTGTCCTGCTACTACTGGTGATGTCCTTGAGGGTCGGGGGGTTTTGGGGAGGAGATACTTGGAATATGTTTTGGGCAAAGATGTTGGAAACTGTTTTTGGCAATGGAGTTGGTGGAAAGGACTATGTATCTCTTCTCGGCATTTCTTCTCGGGGTGTGTTGAAGATTTTTTAGTGCTCGCCGTCTGCAGTCTCTGATGAATGACGGGATAGGGGGTTTTTGGAAAATCCTGTTCAATTATAGTGCATTTTTCCTCAAGGAATCGTTGCTGCAGATTCGAGGCACGCGGGAAAGAAGCCAATAATTACACCACTTTTTGGTTTTTGGGTGCGTGGGAGAGTAAAAGTGGAGAAGATCGTTTTGGTTGGTGGTTTTCGATAGACTTTAAAACAAGTTCAGGTCAGCTTTTGCAGAGTAAACATAAAGGGAAGGAAGAGTGTTGTCGCCTTTTCTTCAAGTGTGAACGGATAAAGGCTCAAACCTGGTGAGTTGTCTTGGAGAGCTTGAACGTTGAAGCGTTTAGGAGTTATGGGGAGAAGTCGAACATAACGGAGCCAGGTGACAGACGAAGGAATAATGGTGGAGAAACTTTTTGGGTTTTCTAGATTTTCCATGTATAGGTTCGCTGGGCCCCGACAAACCCAGGGGTACCCAAAAAAGTCTGCTAAAGAGTGATTTTAAAAAGAAAACAGTAAACCCAACACATTTCAACCAGGTCGTGAAGTCGCGGGCTGGAAGGGGAAGATAAGTGAATCGTAAATTTTTTTGCGAAAGAGATCATGGTTTTGTTTAGTAGGTATTTTAGTGAAATGGGAAGTCACGTCAAGGCGGAAAAGTTTCTTGTTCCTATGTTGATTTTGCAATGCGATTGAGAAGATACCTAGTGTTTGAGATGTGCTGGACTGATAGTGCCCAAGAGTTTCGAGAGGTTTTTGGGCGAGAATTCCTGAAGTTTGTGGGGAGCACTCCCTTTTCCCGAGGATATGGGCCCGGGGGATCCAGGCTTGTGGCTTTGGCAGGCCCCGTACATTTGGGCAGGTCGGGGGTTGCGGGCAGGTGTGCAAGTTTTTCCCTTGTTCTGAGCTCTCAGAATGCGCGAGTCCTTTGAAAAAAAAGTTTTAGTAAGGTTGCCCATTTGGTTAGTTGTGAGAGGTTTGAGTATTGGGGGTCTTAAGTAATTGAGCATTTTTTTCCCGTAATCGTCATGTTTATGATGACAACACCCCTCCTTTATCGCGGTGGTACCCGATGGTCGGTCTTCTGCAAACCTTTGAGTGCATTGATGTAACGTCGGGGTATGACTGGGAGCTTGGGTTGAGATGGCTGCTGAGATGATGCCTTGAAGATAGCCTTTTTTGGGGCGGGTCATTGTTCTGTAGTTTTTGGGGATGAAATTGAGGTCTTTTTTTGGTTTTTTGTAATTCCTGTTGCGAATTTTGGGCCCAAGTGAGGGCTTTTTTTTTCTGGGTTGCAGTGGACGAGTTTTGAATAATTTTAGGGCTTCCTAAAATTTTTCCCCAAATTTCTATTTTCGCAGAGTGTTTGTGTTTCCGTAAGTTACTTCTGTTTAACATTCGCTGTGGGAACTCTGCTGATTCCCCAACTCAACATCGGGAAAAAGAAAAACTTTCCCGCCTTGAAGGACTTCCCATTCACTAAAGTACCTCTAAAAACCACGATCTCTTGGCAAGAAAATTGGGCGTTCACTTGACTTCCCCTTCCAGCCAGCGCTTCACGCCTGGTTGAAAAGGTTGGTTACGTGTTTTCTTTTGAAAAACACCCCTTTTTAGCAACTTTTGGATCCCTGGGTCCACTCTGCAGCCTAGCGAACCTATACATGGAACATTAAAAAAGCCGAACGTTTCTCCAACATTTATTCCTTCGTCTGTCACCTGGCCCGTTATGTTTACGAATTCTCCTATAATCCAAACGTTTAAAGTTCAAGCTCTCCAAAACAATCAACCAGGTCGAGCCTTCATCCGTTCACACTTGAAGAAGAGGTCGACAACACTCTTCCTTCCTTGAGTTTTTACCTGCAAAGCTGACCATAACTTCGTTTTTAAAAATCTATCGAAAACCCCCCAACCAAAACGCTTTCCCTTTTACTCTCCCACGACACCCAAAAACCAAACGTGGTTAATTATTGGCTTCTTCTGGTGCACTCAGAATCTGCAGCAACGAGTTCCTTAGGAAAATGCACTAAATTTAACAGGATTTTCCAAACCCACTACCTCGTCACTTCATCAGAGCTGCAGACGGCCCAGCAAAAACATTTTAAAAACCAAAAAGACACGCCGAGAAGAGATACATAGTCCTTCCCCCAACTCCATTGCCAAACATGTTTTCCCAAAACTTTGCCAAAACTCATTCCAAGTATCTACCCACAAAAACCCACCCTCAAGGACACACCCGTAGTAGGCAGGACAAGCCTCCTTTCCCCTGCGGGGGTTTCATAAAACCCCCTTTTAATGACTGCAAAAAGTTTTTACGTGGGCGAAACATCAAAGGGGCCCCCAAACCGTATTTCAGGAACAATACCAAGCAGGTCTGACGACAAAGGAATGCCCGCGTACAAACCGTAATTTACACAACCCCTTGATAAAAAACAGAAAATCAAGATTATCCCACAAAGAAAACCCCCTACCGAAAAATCCTGGGAAACATCACTATTTTTTATATCCACAACTTTAACCCGAATAGTGGCTTCTTTAACAAGCTGAAACCCCTTGCCCAAAAAACTTCTTCTCGCATCCCCCATAAGAACACTGTAGAAGGTCCTGCTCACAAACTTTCCAGTCTCCTTTTTAGCACCCCAAATTTTTAGACTCTCAAACCCCAACCCGGGACATCATCAGAGCAGCATTCTTCACCTGCCTCAGCCGGACTATAAATACCGCGTTCCTTCCACCCCCCGGTAGTTCTGTTTGGACTTGAAAAGCCCACTGTGTGGGCGAAACGTAGTCAAAAAAGGATCACATTATCCCTGCATTTGGTTTATATTGCCATTGTGTCGGTATTTTATACCATTTATTTCCATTCTCCTTTGTATGGACTGATGAAGCCACTGTGTGGCGAAACGTTTCCTCAATAAAGATACCCAAGAGTTGCAATGTGTTTTAATTATCAAGATGTGGGTTTTCTCTGAACCATTCATCTACAAACCTGTCAGACACTGCAACTTCTTGGGATCTTAATACTTAGGAATTCTTCGCTTGCCTAATTCTTGGGCACGCCCCTACTTAAACATTGAACAAATGTTACACGACCTATGACTGCTGCACCTCTCCTGCCAACGGTTTATAAGCTCCTTCTCAGCACGTATGCCGTATTCTATTCAAGATTGATGGACTGACCACATCGACTCAAGGTTGAGGGACTGATTACCTCATTCTCCTCCTGTTCTTCAAGATTCTCCTTTGTATGGACTAAATGAAGCCACTGTGTGGCGAAACGTTTCCTCAATAAAGATACCCAAGAGTTGCACATGTGTCTAATTTATCAACATGTCGGTTCTCTGAACCATTCATCTACAAACCTGTCAGACACTGCAACTTCTTGGGATCTTAATACTTAGGAATTCTTCGCTTGCCTAATTCTTGGGCACGACCTACTTCAACATTGAACAAATGTTACACGCCCTATGACGCCTGC